AAGGATGTAGAACATAGAGACCGTTCTCCAGTTCCCCGCATGCGATGAATTTTTTGTTCCTTTTGATAGTAATCACATTACTAAAAGAGACAGTATATCCATCCACACACAGTTTAGAAACAGAAATCAAATTTCTTCTTAGATTTTGTAAAAGACATTCTTTCAGTACAAGAATCCCTTCTCTAAAACTTAATTCTACGGTTCCTATCGCCGTAGCTGCAACATTTACAAAAGTCCCCAAGTAAAGTGTCACCTCTCCTTCACTCAGCCTTCTGCTTACTTTGAACCCCTGCAGTGAGTTACACGCATGAGTTGAAGCCCCAGAGTCAACACACTAGGACACAGAAGTCACTAACATATTAGTTTCTATGACACAAATTTCGAAGTTACCTTTCTTAGGTTCCAGGTAGGCAGGACAATTCTCTTCCAGTGACAGGCATCGGATGCCTTGTCTTTCTTTTGTTTCTTAGACTTAGTGGCCTTTTTCTAGGGTTTCCTCTTTGCCCTCCTCTTCTTGCCAGATTTGCCAGTTTCAACAAGCATGGCTATCAGCTCATCCTTTCTAATCAGTTCCTCGGCCCATTGCAACATGTTGCTGAGCTCTTGAACGCTGACATTTAGCTTGTTCATATTGTAATTCATTATGAACGGATTGAAGGACGGAGACAAGGAGTTAAGAATGACAATTATCTGTGTGACCAGATCCAGCCCGGACCCAAGGGCCTCCAGCTCGTTAATGTAACCCATCATCCGGAGACAATGGTCATGAACTTGCTGCCCCTTGGTCATTTGCGCGGTCATGAATTGCTTCAGGACCTTTTGTCGAGTAGAACGGTTCTGCTCTTCGTACAGTCTTTAGACTATCCAATATGTCATTGGCGAGTTCGATCTGATCGAACTACCTCTGTTTCGGATTATCCAAAGAGGCTATGATATAGCAATGGGCTAAGGAATTTTTCTCCTCCCATTCTTGGTATTCCCTCCTGTGGGCTTCTGAAGCCCTGTCTCCCGGATGATCCGATGCAAGATTCTTTGCCACCTTATCTAGTTTTTCTGAAGTCAGGACCAGCATAAGGTTTCTGTACCAGTCGGCATAGTTTGGGCCCTTAAGCTTGTTGTCGTCAAGCAACTTAGCAAATTGTCTGTTTGCCATTTTTTGGTAAAACAGCCAAACGTTAGTCCACAACCTTAGTTTGATTCATGTTACCTGTATAGATATGGCTTTTAATCTATGTTCCATTTCCATTTGTTCATCTTTGAGATTTCCCTCCTATCTCAATGATGGAGACGGCGAAATGTCTCTGGAAATGTGGGAAATCACATAGGGTGCATGGAGCCAACTGTTTTAGCTGCATAACCCCACCACCTTTCTGTGACAGATCACATCCACTCATCATATGAGTTTCCCTTTGGCCTTTGTCAGACAAGGTTCAAAGTCATTTTCAAGTAAACCTTTCTGTCCAGTGAGTGCTCACCCATCATATTCAGGTTACGCCAAGGTACCGTGAGAGAGTTCCCATTTTCTGGTGAAGCCCCTCCCTCATCGGTCTATGACGCTCCTATCATCTTATGAAACACTCTAACAGATCCAACAGCAAATGGATAGCCCAATTTTATGGTGCGTTTCCTCATTACTGAAGAACCCTTCATCGTGCTAATGACGGAAGGCCTTTAGATAGTCCATCATATGGATCWCCCTATCACATGCACTCATATTACCGGAGGGAACAAATTATGCCCTAGTTCTAATTTAGGTCAAACCAAAGTGGCTCCCACTGACTTTCATAAAGTTAGATTTTTGGTGGGCCTAAATCAGCTAGGGTTTCCGCATGCATCCCTTTTTCAGGGTTGAGGGGCCCACCATGCAAGGAGGGGTCATCCAATGACCTTAGGGGACACCATGGCAATGATGTGCATTCAACCATGGTGTACGCAAGAGCCACTAACGAAACATCATGGGCCAAGTGCTTATGGCCCATGGTTGCAGCACATCAAACATCCACACATCACATGATATGGTTTCAAAATGTTTGCAAAAGGTTTTAATTCTCGGGATCCATGTGAGTAGAGGGTGCAGCACTGTACCTTACAGCCGAGGGAGAGGTCCTCTCTTGTCGGGTAGTGTTTGATCATTAAGGGTTGAGAGGTTAAGTGTAAGACCATTGAGGGTAATACCTGATGGGCTAATCTTACATCTTCCCACAGTCTTTGGGCCTTTATAAGATAGCTGGACCCAATGACCATTTAGTGTAAATGTTGGGCCCATTAAGAGCCCATGGTGATGGACTCAGGGGTTCACTATGTCCTATAGTGAATTCGGCCAGGCCTTGTAACAGAGGCTAGGCTGAACCCATGTGGCTGATGTGTAGATCAATGTTAGGGTCCCATGCCATACAAAGAGAGCCAACT